ATCCATGTTGAATGGTGAAGGACCAGTCTTTCCTCCCTTTTTACGAGCAGCAGAATAGTCATCCCTGGCATCATTGCACTCATATTTGATATGGAAGAATTTCATGACCTCCAGCTGCCGCTCTGAGAATGAATAGCCATTGAACACATCATCCCAGAGCACATCCTGGCTTGGTCTCAGATCCTGTCCATTGCGCCAAGGCTTGAAGAGAGTGAGCATGGTCATGCAATATTGTTCACGGTTGCCTGCATCTCTCCTGGGAGCGAGCCACCAATGAAGTTGGGAACATATGCCTCTGACTCATCCAGCAGCTTCACATGATGGGTGTCATACTGTGGATGATTCTCATGGAACTGCACATATTTTGACCTGGATTTCTTGGGCTTAGGTGCGCTATCTGCTTCAAGCTCCTGGTTCGATGTTTTTGTAAGCAAAAGTTCATCCTCTGATTCTTCTTCCTCTTCATTGACTCCAGCACCCTTCAATTCTGCATCACTGACATCATAGTTGTCCTCAAACTCTGAGTCCACATCTGCATGCTCATCAATATGCTCTTCAGATTTTTTGGGGCCCTTTTTACGGTATGTGATCCGCTGCTTGTCTGCCAGTCTGACCCAGTCGTATAGTGACATGTGCTCGTACTCAGTGGGTCGCCATATATAGTCCTGCACAGGTGACAATGCTATGATCCGCTTGGATGTTCCTGAAAGTCCGAGCATGACTTTGGTGGTCCCTTCCTCGGCAATCTTGGCAGAGTCCTCCCATGCACGCATCACCTCATACACATATCCTCTCCAGAAACATGTGCGGAATTTGTGGCTCTTGTAGTGGTCTGGATGCTTGAGCAGATACATGGCTGCCATGGGTCCACCAATTTCAGAGCATGCAGTCAGCAAGTTCACTATCTTGGTGATCAAAGACCGGGCCTTCTCTTTAGTAGACTTTTGACTGCCTAACAACTCCACATTGCGCTCAAACACTTGCTGGATAGACTGGAACATCACATGGGTTTTGAGTGGGGTCTTGGTTATGTAATCAGCAACATAAGCTATGATAGACTTGATGGCAGTGCCCGACAGTAGACTGGTGACATCAGTGTTCCCGCGCATGAGATAGGTGACTGCGTGGGTGATGGTGTTGATCCATGCCTCTCCCTTCTTCATGATCAGTGCACCAGTGCTTGGGTCTACCACAGTCTCTGGATGTGTCTCTCTGGGGAACCGGGCTTTGCAATTTCCATTTTTGTCTGTACAGCCTCGATTATCAAATTCAGGTTTGTCAGATTTATCCAGATCAGCCTTGTCTTTCTTTGAGGATGCCCGACATGTGTGTCTGTTGGATAGATATAATATTTCATCCACTGTCTGCTTGAATCTGGTCCACCAGGATGTATGCTTCTGACACTGATCACAGTCTGATTTGGTGGAGTGGTCGCACTTCTTGGGTGGTGGCTCTGGCAATGTCTCTGTGGGTGGGACCCTGGATGGATTTTTGTGATCTTCCTCTGCTATGTTCCACTTCACACTCTCCATGCTGCCTGTCATGAATTCACCCATGTGCACACTCTCTAGATACTCTACCATGGCCTTCTGGAAGTCTGACTTTGGATCCATGATTTTATCTCGAATTTCCTGGGGTGTAAGGGAATTTTTAATCCAGATAAGCATATGCATGTGCAGTGTTAGCCGACCCTGTTGCTCCACTGTCCCATAATATCCTGATGTTTTTCCATACATCCCTGGTCTATCCAGTCCCACCCCAAGAACATGCTTGATAAATAGATCCACCATCATTTTGAAGAAGCGTGCACCAGCCACTGGATTATTGGCAATCAACCGCAAGCGCTCATTCTTGTCTCTGAACTCAGGTACAAATTTCAGATTGGTGTCTGCAAAATACAGGGCCACAGGGTGCTTGACATCAGCTGGAGCAAAGGTCACAAACCACGAGGGTGCACCGAGGTAGGAGACTAGTGACCATATTTCATTGCGCATATATTTCTTGCTTGTGATGGAGCCCTGCACCTTATAATTGACATGATCAAGGGCATTCAATATTTTGAAGCACGCCTTTTCATCTTCGGTCTCTGGTTTCATAGATCCTGTGCTTAGCCGTTGAATAATGTCTGCCAGGGTGGAGTCTTTGATGTTCAGAAGCCTGTTAGCTATTTCACCAAACTTGTTCTTGTCTGCCAACAAATATCCCGCTGTGGTGGATTTCTTGATCTGCTCATGGTTTAATGCAACCAGTGGAAACAATGGCTCTAGTTGAAAGCGCTTATCATGGTACATCAGAAGCTGTTGCTTTCTTTGTTCTTCAGAGACAGGTCGACACCCGCTTGCAGAATTGTTCAGTTCACCTAGGCCATATGGGAATAACCATGGGAACATCTGAGGATACAGCTGAGGATTGTGGTATAAACTCTCTGGCTCTGCAGATTGACCAATGCCAAGTACTTTGCCTCCAGATTTGAAGTGTTCAATAGCTCGTGCAGTGATCTCATATGGTCTGACTTTTCCCATGTGTTCAAGGCTTGTTCCTGTTAATCCATGCACAACAAAAGGACACGCTCCATCATCGGCATCTTCATCTTCTTCACTTGCATTTACAGCTGACGCCTCAGGATCTACATTGGACTCCATGCTCTTTGAGTAATTTACGATCACAGGTGGCTCATCCTCAGGATATGAATTGATGTTGTCATAAGATATCTCAAGATCAGCATAGTCAATGTGATTGAGTTTGAGCCATTCAAGCGCATCCGCCACTTTGTTACGCCGTACTAGCATGGGTGTGCGCTTATACTCCTTAGAGGTTGGTTGGTTAGGTCCAAGGTACAAGAATGCTAACACTTCGCTCAATTCCTCACATCTAGGTGGCAGCACTGAGTATATCTTGGGCATGGGAAGTGAATGGCTGACCACATTAGCACATAGCTTGGACATGCCTGACATATGGACCTTGACAATGCAGTGGTTATGCTTTACACGTGCTATCAGCATTTTCTCAGTGAAACTCAAATTTTGTAGCTGTGGTGGGACCTCGTCCAAGCCATAGACCATTTGCCAGACTGT